AACAGCTGCTACAAACCTTACAGTGCCCGTTCTGTTGTGCACCCTGTTAAACAATCCAAAGGAGAAAAAGAAAAAGAGGCTAGGGTTTTATTGATTCTGCATAATGTAATTGAATGAATAAAACCTAGATACAAAGAGACTATATATAGTCTAAAATAAAAAAAACTTAAAAGACTATTTTACCCTTAATAAATAATGTTAACAAAATAATCATATATTTCTTAATATCTCCCCTCAAACTCACGATGCAGCAGCTATAAGTATCGAGAGTTTGCCAACTAGAAAACGAAAACGAGAAATAGAATGCGCCTTGGTAAAGAAATCTGGAAGCTGCAAAGAAGAAGAAACAAATGGCAAAGTAATTGTGCCATGCTTGAGATGATGACGAGTAAGGTGACAATCGATCTCAATGTGCTTAGTTCGTTCATGAAAAACCGAGTTGTGAGCAATCTGAATGGAACTCTGATTATCACAATACATAGGAGTGGGATGTGAAAGAAAAACTCCCATATCTGCAAGTAACCAACGTAACCAAACAATCTCTTTGGTAGTGGATGCCATAGCACGATATTCTGCTTCGGTTGAAGATTGAGACACAATAGATTGCTTCTTGCTCTTCCAAGAAATAAGAGAATCACCCAAAAAGATACAGAAGCCAGTAACAGACTTACGATCTGTGGGATCACTGCCATGATCAGCATCAGAGTATGCACGCAGCTCCAAGGAAGATGTGGATGGAAGTAAAAGACTCTGAAAGACTGTACCCCGAAGATATCGCAAAATACGAAGAACAGCTGCCCAATGAACTGTAGTAGGAGAAGCAACAAACTGACTAACAACATGAACAGCATATGCAATATCTGGACGAGTAATAGTGAGATATACCAAGCTCCCAACAATAGTACGGTATAAAGTAGGATCTGATAAAGGCAAACCATCAGAAGAAGAATACTTTGCGTTAACCTCAATGGGAGTATCAACAGTCTTATTATCAGTAAGTCGAGCCCGTTCAAGAATATCTGCAACATATTTCGACTGAGAAAGAAGATAACCTCTAGGTGAGCAGGCTACCTCAATACCCAAGAAATATCGTAGAGAACCCAAATCCTTCATTTCAAACTGTCTAGCCAACTCTGTCTTCAAAACTGAAATACCATCAATATCATCACCAGTAATAATCATGTCATCAACATATAAAGATAGAATGATACGACCTGCATCAGTGCACTTAACAAAAAGAGCAGAATCATGACTACTAGAAGTAAATCCAAGAGAAGAGATCACAACAGAAAATTTCTCAAACCAAGCACGAGGTGCTTGTTTGAGACCATACAACGCCTTCTTGAGTTTGCAAACATACCCAGAATCATGTGGAACACCAGGAGGGGGAGCCATATAAACTTCTTCTTGAAGATCTCCATTTAAGAAGGCATTTTTAACATCAAGTTGAGAGATACGCCACTGACGAATCGAAGCTATTGCAATAAGAGTACGAATAGTAGTCATTTTTGCAACAGGAGCAAATGTCTCCTCATAATCCATACCATACTGTTGAGAGTACCCTTTTGCAACCAACCTAGCTTTGTATCGCTCAATTGATCCATCAGAATTAGTCTTGATCTTATACACCCAACGACAACCAACAACACTCTTACCAGGAGGTAGAGGAACCAAATCCCAAGTACCAGTCTTATGCAAAGCAGAAAGTTCCTCATCCATAGCTTGCTGCCAAAGAGGATCAAGAATTGCCTCTTTATAGGAAGAGGGCTCAGAGAGACAATGAATAGAAGCTAAAAAGGAAGTAAAAGATGAAGAATAACAAGAATAAGCAAAATCTGGTAACTTTGTAGACTTACGAATGCGTATGGATTGACGTAGAGGTGGATCCACAGTCTCAGACGGAGCTTGAGGGACCATAGGAGAAGAGGGAGCTTCAGGTGTGCCGGAGAGTAAAGTGTCAGTACATGCAGAATGATCAGTATTTGAAGTGCTAGGAACTTGAGATGACAAACTATCAGAATCAGTAGAAAAAGGATCTATACGAATAAGATCAAATCTAGTCAAACTATGAGTAGTTGATGGAATAGAAAAGAAAGGTATATGCTCGAGAAACACAACATGACGAGACACATAAAGTTTCTGAGTTATTGGATCAAAACAACGATACCCCTTTTGACCTTCACCATAACCAAGAAAGACACAAATAGCAGATCGAGATGACAATTTGCTGCGTTCTACATGAGGACGAAGAACGAAACAAGTACAACCAAAAACTCTAAAGAAAGAATAATCAGGGGCATACCCATACAACTTTTCGAAAGGAGAAAAACCTGAAATATGAGAAGATGGAATTGTATTAATCAAACTTACAGCAGTAAGAACAGCTTCACCCCAATACACACTAGGAACTGAAGTAGACAACAAGAGAGAGCGAGCAGTTTCAACAATGTGCCTATGTTTTCTTTCAGCAACACCATTTTGCTCAGGAGTATCTGTACACGAAGTTTGGTGAATAGTTCCATCTAAGGCAAGCAGTTCACAAAATTTTTTAGAAGTGTATTCCCCACCCAAATCACACCTAAAACATTTGATAACAGCAGAATGTTGAGTTTTGACAAGAGCACGAAATGTTGTGTATATCTCAAAGAATTCAGAACGATGTTTCATTAAATAAACCCAACAATAACGAGTATGATCATCAATAAAAGAAACATAATACCGGGACCCTCCTTTTGTGGCAACAGGAGAAGGCCCCCATACATCAGAATGAATCAAATCAAATGGAGAGGAAGAAATAGAAATACTTCGATTAAAAGGTAAAGCTGAAAATTTTGCCAGTTTACATCCACTACAATCTGAAATATCATAAGGTTGCAAATTTCCTAATGCCCCTGTAGAAGCCAAATATCTCAAACGAGAAGACGAAACATGACCTAGACGAGAATGCCATAAATAAAAACTAGAAGAAGAAGGACTCAAACGAAAAGAAGATAAATCAACACTAGTAGCAGCAGCAGCAACTGGTACTTTTAACTCATCCAAAACATATAGTCCCCCCTTCCTACGGCCTGTCCCAATCAGCTTCTGAGACTGGAGATCCTGCACATAACAAGAAGAAGAGGAAAATGTGACTAAATTACCAGAATCACATAACTGACCAACAGAAGCAAGATTTAATTTGAGTTTCGGAATATGATAAACATTAGGGAGAGACAAGTGAGGTGTGACAACAGAACCAACACCTGCTAAAGGCATAGGAGTGCCATCAGCAGTCATGACAGGAATACAAGACGAATGAGACACGGAAGCAAAAGATGAAGAATCTGGAGACATATGATGTGAAGCACCAGAATCCAAGACCCAAACAGAATGTGACATACCTGAAGAACTATGAGGCAACTGACCTACAGAAGCAGACATAGCTTGTGGCTGTAAGGAGAGAAACTTCTGAAATTGCTCAGCCAGAGTACCAGGATCTGTGAAAGGACCCGATGAAGCTACCGCTGCAGTATTGAACTGTGGTGGTCTATAACCCTGAGGTGGTCTACGATCATTCGATTGTGATTGATTGCCAGGCTTCCAAGCTTGGAATTGCTGCACGGTACGATTCTGCTGTCTCAACTTAGGACACTGAGCCTTCCAATGACCTTTCTCCTTACAGAAACTGCACTCATCACGGGCAGCCCTTGCGTGAAACATATTATGATTATTAGACAGTGACTTAGAAGGCATTGCTAACACAGAAGGATTAGGAGTAGAAAGAATTCCCTTTTCAGAATAAGACTTAAGACGTATTTCTTCAGCCAATAACTCACTGACAACTGAATCAACAGAAGGAAGTGGAGAACGATGCAAAATTGAACCTCTAAGTCCTTCAAAATCACTGCGAAGTGCCGTTAGAAACTGTACCAACCGTTGCTGCTCTCTATGAACAATAAAGGCATTGCACGCCTTTAATTCTGCCGATTCTGTAAGAGCCAATTGATCCCAAAGATCTGTTATAGCAGAATAAAACTCCTGAACACTCATATTGTTCTGCTGAAGAGCTCGTATGTCATTCTCTAATTGATACTGTTTTGCAAAATTTGACTGAGTGAATAACCTTTGCAGATGTTCCCAAACCTCCTTTGCTGTATCATACTTTGCCAACTCTCTACCTATGGAATGCTCAACAGAATTGTTAATCCAAGTAATAATTTTTGAATTGTTTGCTTCCCAAGTATCTATTGAAGCAGCATAACCCTCATCAATATCCGTAGGTTTTACAGAAGTTCCACTAATATATCCCCACATCTTTTTACCCTTAAGAAAATTTCTCAACACATAACTCCAATACGAATAATTCTTTCCATCCAACCTCACACTCACAGATTGAAGCGAATCGTCTCTTTCAGTAGCCATAATAAAAGAAAAGAAGAAGGAAACTCAAATCGCAAAAGTAAGGGAAACGAAATACCAGATTGCAGAAACTGAATGAAAACCCTAACGAAATACCAAATTGCAGAAATTGAATGAAAACCCTAACGAAATACCAAATTGCAAAAACTGAATGAAAACCCTAACGAAATACCAGATTGCAGAAACGGAACGAAAAATTCTCCCAAAATCGTCTTCTCTCCGCGGAAGCTGTGTTTGAGATTATGTCAAATCCCATGAAACTTAGCTCTGATACCATGTTAAACAATCCAAAGGAGAAAAAGAAAAAGAGGTTAGGGTTTTATTGATTCTGCATAATGTAATTGAATGAATAAAACCTAAATACAAAGAGACTATATATAGTCTAAAATAAAGAAAACTTAAAAGACTATTCTACCCTTAATAAATAATGTTAACAAAATAATCATAAATTTCTTAACACACCCTACCCAATGTTTGGTGTTTGCTTTGTTGTAATGAAATACCTTAATATGGAAAGTGACACAGCATTGGCACTTATAAGGTTGAGCTGTATAATAATCTTTTTATGTACTGATCCATAATTTTCAAGAAACTATTTATAAATGGGGGCAGAAGTGGAAATGAAACTTTTTGAATTAGGTGGGAAACATGTTGGAAAGGATTAAGTCTTTCAAAATGAATAATTACATTCAACATAAGTAGAATTTATCAACAAATCTTTAGAATGTTTTAGAAATATTCTGGAATGTTTAAAATAACTTTAATAGGCTTATGTGTAGATGTCATTTACCTTGTTTTCTCTTTCACTTTATTGCTCTTATCATAATTGGCAGGAAAATTGATTTCCTAGTACTTCAATTAAATATCTCTCTTGTATGGTATTTCATAATTGGTTGATAAGAATGAACTATTTTTATCCCAGTGCAGGTATTGTCAGGCATTTGCCGGACTGAATATGATTCTTGCTTTTGTGCTGCGGCACTGTGTGCATTCATTGCCCCTGCGGCCGCTGGGTCTGGCATACCTGAGGTGAAAGCATATCTGAATGGTGTAGATGCTCATTCCATTTTAGCTCTGAGTACTCTTTTTGTCAAGGTGGGTAACATCTTTTCTAGTATTCTTTCCAATTCCCGGCATAGCATTTCACATTCCCTACGCGTGCACATGCCTTCCCTTCTTAATTTATTAATGATATGCTAAATGAAATGAGAAGAAAGTTGTGAATAGTTTCTAGTCCATAAAAGTTATAGATGTTTCAAGAGAGACGGGTTGTTTAGCAGCTGCACCTAAGACAATTATGAATTCAGAAAGGAAGCCATTGGCTTCTAAAAATAGTTGAAACTGGACTGTGGTCCATACTCATACCATATCTAGGAATGCATTACCTTTGAATATGCAATAAAATGCTGTCCTCGGGTCTTCTGTTAATATTTGCATATAATGCACATATTCCATACAAAAAATTTCAAGGAATTAGTTAATGACACATATGCATGATTCTACAATGAAAAAAAGTGAAGACTTATTCTCCATAAACTTAAAGTTTATGTCCTCCTTTGCCACTCTGTATATCTATGCAATCCGTAACAATTTATATCTTCAGTGTGTCGATTCTTATAGATTTTTGGTTCCATTTTTGGAGTTTCTGCAGGATTTGTTGTGGGTAAGGAAAAACCTATAGTACACACTGGTGCCTACATAGCCAACTTTCTTGGACAGGGAGGCTCGAGCAAGTATCGTTTGACTTGGAAGTGGCTCAGGTACTTTAAAAATGATCGAGATCGAAGGGATTTGATTACTTGTGGTGTCGCTGCTGGTGTCGCTGCTGCTTTCCGCTCCCCCGTTGACGGTGTTCTTTTTGCTCTTGAAGAGGCGGCCTCATGGTAACTAACGCCATTGTAAATTCAAAAAATACTTTGTCCATCAAAGAATATGAGTTAATTGAGCCAATCGTTTTATTTATCCAATTAAAGATGCTTAAGACCTCAGTTTCACAGTGCATGCATAGAGGAGAAATATAACTGCTTAAATATTTTAAAACGTAATGGTATAAGTTGCTTTTCAAATTTTTTGTATACTGGATTTTCGATATATAATTCAAACGCATCCGAGTTTATGGCCATGCTAAAAAATATATAAGAAAAATGGAATACATATAATTGAGTGGAAAATCTGGTTATATGAGCTTGTTTTAGCTTGCATCATCCCTTTAAGTGGAGTCTCTTTAAGGAACTTATTTCTTCACCCATTGTCTACTTTTAGGTGGAGGAGTGCGCTTCTTTGGAGGACTTTCTTCACTTTGTAGCTATGATAGTGAGATCTCTAATAGAAATTTGTAGGAGTGAAAAATGTAGACTATTTGGACAGGGAGGTTTGACCATGTTTGATGTCAATTCAGCAGGTCCTTCTTATAATACTAAAGATCTACTCGCCATTATGTTAATTGGGGTTCTTGGAGGCATTTTTGGAAGCCTTTACAACTATCTTGTAGATAAGGTCCTTAGAACATATAGCATCATCAACCAGTAAAGCCTGTTAACCACCTTCTCTTGTGTAGTAAATAGTTTGTTTTACACTAATAAACACCAGATCTATTAGCCATTAGGGAGATTTTTGTTTAAAGCATGACAAGCAATATTTTGGTTTTATTATCTGATAAGATCATAGTAACGTTAAGAGGAACAAATTATTCATAAACATGTGTTTAACTAAAATTGTGTTCTTATTTATCTGAAATGCACCTGCTTTTTCTTCCCCTTGTAGGAAGTCCTATTTTTGTTTTGGCTCTAATCATTGGAGAAAATTCAAATATTTCGGAATCAGATTTTTCAGTATGCAGTGAATTATATTTATATATGGAGAGAAAATTCATATATTTCGGAATCAGATTTCTTTAAATGCAGTAAATTTTGTATTTATCTGTATCATATTTGAATGTTAATCCTCTTTGTTTAACTTTTTAACAATTTGCATGCTCTAAGGATGATGGGACATAATGGGTTTCCAGTTATTGATGAGCCACCATTCTCAGATGCACCAGAACTATGCGGGTTGGTTTTGAGGTCTCACTTACTTGTTTTGCTCAAAGGAAAAAAATTTGACAAGAACCAGGTATTGACTGGATTAGAATTTTTAAGGATGTTTCATGCCTTCGATTTTGCTAAACTGGGATCACGTAAGGGGGCTTAGGGTGGAGGATTTGGACATTAGTGTCGATGAAATGGAGATGTATGTTGATCTCCATCCAGTTACAAATACATCTCCATACACAGTAGTAGAGACTATATCCCTTGCCACAGCTTCTGTTCTCTTTCGACAACTTGGTCTCAGACACTTGTGTGTTGTCCCAAAGACACCCGGGCTAAGAAATTTGTCTTATTTGTTATCTGAACGAGGTACCTGTAATGTATATCTCATTTTCTCATATTAGCAAAATAAATAACTTGGTTAAATCCACCCCTCTCCCGCAGGTTTAAGTCTTCATTTATGATCAGATCCTTCATGAACTCCCCTATCACTTCTATCAATGAGAAGCTTTTTCCCATACTGTAGTTGCAGTCTATTGTTGAGATTTAGAATTCTTTGCAACCATAACTTCTTTTCTATAATTTGCAGAGACCTCCAATTGTAGGAATCTTGACACGACACGACTTTATGGCATGTGTTGGGACTCTACCCGCATATTATTAGCTGCACAAATTTACTCAGGCAAGTGAACATATTCGGTTGATACTCGACTTGTTTACATGTCCATGAACTTTGGCTGGCTTACAAGATTTACAAGTCTTCACTTCCAAGTTCCAACAATCATATGCATATTCCTTTGTATTTATCAAGCACGTAGATATATTATGGTGTGATTTGTATATAACCGAACCTTTTGTTGAACTCAATAATTGGGTTAAATCAAGATAAGATCGTCTCCGTAGTAATTTCTTCACTTGTATTTCAATTTTGTTGCGAACTTTAAACTCCAAATTTGACTGTTGCAAAAGGCTGGCATTTTGTCAAGTTGCTAGTCAAATATTCATACTAAAATTTTGTTTGGATGTTATTGAAGTTGAATGAGAAATGTCTTGTTTAAGATTGCACGTTTAATAGTACTGAAATCCTCCACTTCGTTAAAAGGGTCGTAGGTTTACTTGGTGTAGTTACCTATAAAGCAAATATTCGCATTGTTAAGTGATGAAACCATCAAATGTATTTCTTGTCTCTTACAAGAGCTTCCAAAATTCTATTACAGTAAGACTTTTATTTGATTTCACATTTTATCATTGTATTCAATTATGATGGTAAATGAGCACTTGGATTTCCCAAATGGAGGTGTTTCACATATTTATTTACAAATCATGGAATACGAGGGTAGCCTATGTCACATAACCAAATACAAATATCTGAACATGTTTGGTACCGAGTACTAAATCGGACTTGAAAACACCACTGGCAACCGTTCAACTTCTTTTTCGGTATTAAATCAGCTTTACCAAACATGTCTTGCACATTGTAGCTATCACGAGCTCACATATGAAGATTACACCTTTTCTAAGAAGCCGCTACGATGATGAGTGTTCCATATTCCCTTATACCATGAAGATCTCATGCTTCAACACTTAAAACATTGTCCTTGAACGGTCCAGATTCATGCAGTAATTTCATTACGAGTTTAATCTATACAAGAATTCAGTGAACTATAGTTGATAAACGATGATACAAAATTCAAAAGAAATTATAGTTGATAAGCGATTGTACGAAATTCAAAAGAACGCAAAATGCGTTTATTCTGATTCAGGTCTCTACTGAAAGACTTAAAACAAGTATTAAGAGAAAATTGACAAGGAGGAATGAAGTGAAGTTTTTATCTTGCAGATTTCAGAGGGAAGAAAGGGTCCACGCGTATACAAACATGGCCTACCAGCACAGTAATTGCAATTTTCTATTTTATCAAACTTTCACACCTTAGCTCCTGTTTGACAATCATACTTTTCAAAAAAAAAGTTCTGAATAGTGATTTGTAGAAGAATTGTCAGGTTAAAAATTAGGTAAATGTTTTGGATTTACGAGCAGAATATTTTATCGTGCGAATGTGTGGTTGAAAATTAGTACGTAAACAAAGAATTTGGAAAGTATGGTTGTCAAACAGGGGCTTAATATCCACAAACTCGGGCCATCTCAATTTCATAGGTTTAGCTAGAGAGATGAGACCAATTGCCCCATTTACAGTTGCAGCCCATAAATTTTACGATCTACACTACAATGTAATAAGTCAAAAAGATGCATCATCAATTAAAAAAAAAAAGTGTCTTGCTTCCATGATAAACAAAAACATTTGTTGTATCTAATGGCTTAAGCTTTCGCAAGAGGTAGTTCAAGACAAGTCTTTTAGGATAAATATAAGACACGCTTGTAGGACATACACAAGAATTAAAAATAAGAGACAAAAAAAGGAGTCTTAGATTAAGCAGTATCATATCGTTATTGATGGACAAATCTAAAAAATATAATAAAATTACCTGAGCTGCTTCCCGAGCCAAGAAATCTGCAATGACTTTACGAAACTCTGCATCTAAAATGTAGTGACAGCTGTAGGTTGTCACCGGCAGATAACCCCTCTGAATTTTATGTTCACCTTGAGCTCCAGCCTCTACCTTATCAAGATTAAGTTCAATAGCTGCTTCTATTGCCTGCAGCAGTAACATAAATCCAGGTTTCAAGAAGTTTATTTTCCAATCAATTAATAGCTTGTTCGCATTGTGAACAAAAAATCAAGTTTATTAGTGAACCTTTCGCAGGTTAATTACAGTTTGTACCATGGTTATGTAAACATCAAGCTAAAGATCCCATGAAAAGAAAAAATTACAACATATTCCAATGAGTCTATAATAAGGAGATCAAAATTTCAAAAGAAGCAACATTTATGTCAATGATGTTACTACCAGATACTGCCCCCACGGGATATAACTTTACAGATAAAAGCTGAGAGTAAATTCATAACCTGATAATAGCAGGCTTCAAAATGCAAATTTGGATAATATGCACGTGGGAGACATCCCCATAATCTCCCATATAACGCATCTCCTCCAATAAGATTAAGGGCTGCTGCAACAAGCTCTTCCCCTTCTTCAGCAGCAACAAGTAGTACATTGTCGCCCATTTTTGAAGCCATATTGTGGAAGAACTCTCTTGTTAAATAAGCACTACCCCACCTGAAGACATAATAATAAATAGCATGTGTTCAGCTAAAATTCCAAGCTTTTTTCCACAATATATACTCGGCAAGAAATGGATTAATCAACATAATGCTGGCTCAAAAAAATCAACAACGAAATAAAAGGTTGAACAAACACACTGAACTTATTATCTGTGGTGTTCCTGTAGAACTCATAGAAGGTATCCCAGTGCCTAGCCTGCCAACACACCATTTTAGACAAACAAAAGTGAGAACTTGAGGATACAAAATACTGAATGAAAATTCAAAATGCAGGTTAATATGTTTTTACAGGAGTTGAGACATGTATATCAACTCTTACAGAAACAATGCAATCTCATTTTATGAAAAGGTAGAAGCCCGTCAGCATTAACTGCAGATATCATCTTTATCATTGAGGAAAATAAGAATTGTCGGTGATGCAATATATACCTTAATTTCATATCCTCTTAGACGCTTCATGGTTAAATTCTGGGCCGAAATCTGCAGGAGGGAATTTTGCTTTAACATGGAACTAAGTGAACATCCTTGACAGAAAAAAGAACATAAATTGGAAGCTACTAGCTCTTTCCAAAATATACTCTTCCTAACACAACTGTGAATTTTCTTGACCGATAGTAGCAGCTTTTATGAGTTATAATCATATACTAAGATGATGCTTCTTAAGATACTAGGAAACAGAATCTGCTCTGATCCTGTGTAGGAGGTCTCTCAATTATATACAACTTCTTTGGTATCTTTTGAATTACAAGAGTGTAATGAGTCATGCTTGGAAGACTTGAGTGGAAAATCTGAGGCCTCCCTTCAATTTCATGCTAGGTTCATGTACTGAGGTCCTTGTACAAACAGTTTATCCCTGACAATGCATCCTTCTATTTCTATTGATCGACAGATGAAGAAAAAATAATGAAAACCCATACCTTCTTACGCTCTTGACGAATATTTTTCCTTTTACTTTGCTTCATGTCCATCAAAAACTCATCAAAACTGCATTAAACAGCAATATCGGATTACAAATAACAAGACAACCTGACATATTAACACAATGTTTACGTTCAAATTGAAAACTACAAACAAGGACAATCTTACTCCCAACAGTACAAGGATTCCTGTGGCATTGAATGAAAGACAAGGCTGATTTACTTTATCTATTACTATCAAATAATAAAGCTAATACGATGAGCCAAAGAAGCAGCTACATATAAATAGTTAAATACCTTTTATAGTTTCGATTTTTCCAGTGATACTGCATTCCGATCCTCTGTAGAAAACCTTTCTCCTTCAACTTGTCCCACTCATTTGCAGAAGGGAAAGTGATGTGCAGTGATGAAACCTGAAACTGGCAAAGATCTGCTACTGTAATTACCTGGCAGTATTTAAAAGAAAATACTTGTGCAACCGAAAGATGTATTCAAACAAGACACAACTTTATGAAACCTTAATGTAGGGGGCAGATAGAAGCTCTGGCAACATTTTGGTTTGATAACAGTTGTACTGCAATTAGGGTTTTTGGATTTTGTGGCAGTGAATTGGTTATTGCAAGGTGGCAGCATGATTCTGGTATATGAGAAGAATGGGAGAGCTCGAGAACCTGATGTCTCATGTTAGCCATCCAGCTATATTGGGTTTCCTTTACCTAAACTTTTGTGCCTGATTAAACAATTAAACTGGGGTTAACAAAGTGGTATTAAACTGAAAACGTTCTGAATGGCAACCAGAGATTGACTTGTTGGAAGAGTACGAGAGCGTATCCACATAAAACACATGCAGATAAGGACTACAAAGTCTCTTAAGAAGATTACATATCAATAATTTCTAACCACAATAAAAGAAAGATACTCAATTGAACTTTCAATTTTATCCATGAACAGTAAGTCCCTATCTCAAGAACAAACTAAGGAAGAGGAGAAATGATATAGGAGTAAGACAATCCTATTGTAAATTGGATAAAAGTTAGATATTTATAATAAGACATTTAGTTGTAATATGCTTTGTCTTTTTATTCTTAATTCTTGATTAGAATAGCATTTCTTTTTTTTATTGATTAGAATAAGATTTCTAATTTCTTTTAGATTGGGATTTTATATTAATTTTCTTATATTAGTAAGATTAAGGAATAATTTGTCTATATGTAGAAAGGCTTTTTAACTTTTTCAATAATCAATTCAATACAATAAAATTATTCCCTACCTAGTTTCTAGCTTTTACTTTATTCTTATTTCAAGAATTCCCATTCCGCTTCTGCACTAAAATTGGTATTAGAGGAAGGTTTGCCCTTGGCTGATGATTACTTATGATGGTAGTTGTACGCATCCTCCTGATGATGATAAGAGGATTACAAAACCAACCTTGGTCAAGAATTTGGAACGAATAATGGATATATTTGGATGCAGCTAACAAGAATTTGCACTTCAACTGCTATAAATGTTGGTTGCTTCAACAAGACTAACACGGCAACAAGTGATTAGAGAGTTTCCTTGAGTACCATCTAAGTTTGGGTATATACAAGTTATCAAGGATTCTGTGAAGGTCTATCGAGAAGATATAAAAGAGTCCAATTTGAAGTGCAACAAGATTTCTAGATCACGATACAACATCAACAATAAAGTATGCAACGTGAAAATAACCATGAGAGTATTGAAAACTTGATAGCACTAGTGAAAACTTTAAATTTGAAGATTGAAAAATACTCTTCTTGCTATCAAACTTCACAAATTCAAAGGGAGCAAGAAATTCAAAATATGGAGATACGTAAAATCTCACTTTCTATTAAAAAGTACCACAAAGATGAGATTATACGTAACTTGGTAAAGATTGACAATTGTCATGTACTTTGGGGACAATCATGGTACTATAATGTAGATGCCACTTACATAAATCGAGATAACATGTATGTGGTTTGGTAGTACGATAAGAATATTGTTTTAATGTTATGTGATGAGCAATTTGTTAATACTACTGTAAACAAAGAAAAAGATTTATATGGCGGATGATAAGGTCAAAAAAGATGTAATTCAAGATAATCATAATGTTATCGTTCATGATACTACAATAGAAAAAAAAAGCATCTGCAAGTTGAAAACTCGAGACTGGTTATCCCTTATATATGAAAATTGCAATAGAAGACCCAAAGATCAAGTCACACTCCAATGATGAAGTTGAAGTTCAAAAGCATCCAACAAGAGGAGGGAATTAAACTTTACAATCTCGAAAGAATCAAAGGCGAAGCTTGTCAAATTGAGAACAAAAATTTGTTGACATTTTCTACAGTTTCGGTGCCAATGAATTGGATGAAAATAAGGAAAATATGGAAGATGAGGATTCGAGTCCCCGTACCAGTTCTTTTGAATTGAAGTAAGTATCACTAGACATTATAGCAGAAGATGAAAAGTATGAAGAATAGAAAATATCACCGGTAGTCTTTATTGAGAGCGGACTCAACGATGAGATATCGAATCATGCTTCATTTATGAAAATGATAGGAACAAAATTGACTTCAAATAATACAACTGAACAATATAAAGTTTATCAAGCACATTAAGAAATTGACATTTATTTAATATCCGTATTGACATAAATTTTTAAGTATTTTCCTTCCAATTGATTGATTTTCTTTTCTTCAACCAAACTCAACTACGAGTTTTTTTTTTTTTCAACTAAGAGAGAAAGATGTAGGACAATCCTATTGTAAATAGGATAAAAGATAGATATTATAATAAAACTTTTAGTTGTAATACGTTTATCTTTTTATTATTATTTCTTGTTTAGAATATGATTTCTTTTCTTTATTGATTAGAATAAGATTTCTAATTTCTTTTCGATTAGAATTTTATATTGGTTTCCTTATATCAATAGAATTAGGGAATGATTTGCCTATATGTACAAAGGCTTTTTGACTTTTTCAATAATCAATTCAATACAATAAAATAATTCCCTTCATAATTTCTAGCTTTTGCTTTATTCTTGTTTCAATAATTCCAATTCCGTTTCCACACCAAGAAATAAAAAGAAAGAAAGAAATAAATAAAGAAACTGAGGCGGACCTTACAGTGGAAACGTTAGGATAAGTGTTTGTAAACGAAGCAGTAATCAACGTCAAATTCTAGGAGAAAACAAAAAAGAAAGAATAATTAGATTCAGTGACTACCTTGACTGTCAATGCCATCAATGCAGAGACCAAAATGTCAAAGATCTGATCTCTATACACAGTATTACGGACTAAGATCCTCTGACCGGTAACTGGAGTGAAAGGTACACAGCATTGCAGTTTTGGGTAATATCTTGAACCATAACTGTAATAGGCGTCTGCCCATGAATGATCAAACACAAATTCACCATAAGAGTGGCTGCAAGTGGATGGAAGGACGGTCAGGTGTGAACATGGGAAGAAAATATCTTACAAACCCACAAGTGCATGACAAGTGCAATGTGTTTGCGATGTGTATTTGACTTGTATATATGTATAATAAAATAATATCATAACAATATCTTTTTTACTGAAAACATCAAAACAAACCTTTTCAGATAGAGAGGAACCACTCCTAGAACATTTCTGCATTCGTCCCGAGCTATTATATGCTGTGGAACCCATCCCGTCTCCTGAAATAGTGAGTATACAGAATTATAAAATGCTTTCCCTTAAATACATACATGGAAGTTCTAACTCGAAAAGAAAAAGTTCAGCTGTTTTAGATTCGGTTATGCACCTGAACCCTGGAAGCATCAAACATACTAAAGCTTTATCCATATCGTCGAACATACTAAAGCTTTATCCATATCGTAAACAAGTCGTGCAAAAGGAAGAAAAGATATATACCATATCATATTTAATTTATCCAGATTCCAAGTGCAAAAAAAATGTGAAGGACGAATGTGTTTTGTGGTCCTAGCTCGAGTTTGTTGAGATTGAATGGCTGTGTGTTTTGCTGAATAGAAATATGAAAAGGGAACAATTCCTAACCTTCACTGCACAACCTGATTCTTCTAGGCTTGAAAGAAAACCATGGCTAAGAAATGGATTAAATTGTTCTGAACCTGTTGCATCAAGACTGCAAGCATCCCATTCATCAGAAGAAACCTCGGATATCGAAGAAACCACTGAAACTGATAGTTTTTTAGCTTCGCCTAAATTTGTCGTACCACCCTAAGGTAGAATAAATAGAATGGAATTAGCATTAGAATTGAGATAAAATGCCGAAAAACTATTTAAGGGCCAGAAAATAAAAACCTTTGATCCTGACTCCATCAAACTAAAATCTCCAATAGATAGATCCACTTTAGCAGGCTCCACTGCCTTCCTTGGTCCCCAAAATAAGGCTTTTATCCTAAGTTGAAGAACGGAACTCAGGGTACATCTTTCAAATGACGGTTTATTCTGCAGTCGGAGAATTAGATATGTATTCTCAATGAAGAAAACAAAAGTTGAGTGCTAAAATGTGTGTGGTATTTTGCTAATAATAATGCCAATAGACAGAGCAGAAGATAAACAATGCAGCCACATAAACAAGGTGGTATAGTTTCCTGAAAAATGATAGAAACTAAATGGTGCCTTATCTTGATATCAACACTATATGGCAAATCTTAGATAAAAGAAACACTCCGTATTTCCAAATATGATCATGATAGAATGAACACTGTTGAATCAATTATTACAAATCAACATATTTTACAAGATTCAAGACTTCTGAACAATCAAAACTTGGAGGGAAGTACACAAGGACAGGATCAATCTTTGAAACTACAGAATGCAGCGCAAATGAATAACTTAAGAATCACTATCTTCCACTGCAGTAGCATTGATATTACATCCCAAAAACACGAAATCTTTTCTAAAGAAATCAACTAGAACATGCATACTTCTTACACAACGTAGAATTTCTATGAAAAAAAACAGGGTTGTGCCGGTCAAGTTTGAACAAATTCTGCATTCAGAGTAAATCTACCAATTAATACCTAAACTGATTGCGATTAATAAGCAGCACTCGTTTAGTTCAATAAGTATCTGTATCCTAAAAATTATTATGATCATAACAGTATTTTGCAGGAACTACTGGTCCAGCACACATGGGACTGAGCTAATATTTCTTTAACCCCATGTCCATTGACACAATCAAAAAAAAAACCTTAAAGTAGCAATTCCACCAGACAAGATTCTCGGAACCCCAATTATTAGATCCAAACTCTTGCAATCATTTCCTCCAATAACCCAGAACTCGCAATAAGCCAACGAAAGAATTGGGAGCGAGAGATGCTTACAAAGTGAAGTGTGGCTTGGCCAAGAAATGGAGAAGGAGCAGCCACGGCAACTGCCATGGCCAGTGCTGATTCCTGACTGTAAACTTGGAGAGATGAGATTGCTCTTTTTCCTTCCCCCCTTCTTTTTTGTGTACATTAATATTTCTAGGTGAAGTCTTTAAGCGCGAGAATTTCTATAGCCACGCGTAAAACTTATTGGCCATTGGTTCATATGTAAATTTGTGAGGGTTACCATCAATTCATAATAAAATTTATTTTTCTTCATTCATTTATAATTTTACGTTCTTCCAATAAAATAATATTATACATGATTCATAATTGTTCTCTATTTTTTAACTACACTTTTTAAATAAATTATTTTTCACAAAGTTTATTCTCAAATAATATACATCAAACAGAGATTGGACTCCAAGAAAATGCAAAAGTACACATTTTTCAAGTTTTTACACAAAATTACTTCAATTTTTAAAGAAATGTTTCAATTGCACTAATAAAAAAAATCAACTATTTTATCTAATACGGGATTTCATGGACTCGAGTTTGATGAGTTGTTGATGTAAATTTTTATTTATGAGAGTGTGTGATTTGAACTATTGATTATTCTGTATAGATATGTGTCTATGACGTTGGAATTCACGATCGAATGTGTCTTTGTTCTATATTTTTTTACTTTTTTAGGGTTGGAAGGATTGTTGATATATGCAATAAATAAATAGATAAATAAGGCACATCCCGCGATTTACGCTTCCAAAATCCTAAGTCAATCTCCCACGATTGCTGGCACTGGTATATGCACTAAATGACACAGAAGAAAATACAATGGTGGAGTTATGAACCAACTTCATTTATTTATTTATTTATTGGAAAAACAAAACAATACTACAATGACAATAAATTGTTCTTTAGAAATATTTTATTATGACTTTATTTTCAAATTTTATTAAGTATATCTCGTTCAATTTTGCCAAACTTTTTAGGTAATACACGAGACAAAACTAATTTATTGAGAACAAACTTCAATTTAAAGTGATCCAATTCAAGAAAATCGAACATTTGACACAAATTTCATCAAATAAAACATGTTTGATTTTCAAATAAACAATTTATACAATTAAAATTCAACCAATGTTTGGTATGAATTAAAATCTAAATTTTAATTTAGTCACTGTTTGACAATCATTATCCAAAAACATTTTTTTTTTACTTACTCATTTAAAACCATACATTTATAAAATAAAATATTTTGAATATAAAATCAAAAGAAAATTCTAATTTTTACTTTTCAAAACTTTATTTTTGCCAAATAATGGGCATCAAACAAGGCTGAAGTCAATGACAACAATTAATTTTAACCACATACTTTATAAGTCTCGCATCTTTTCAACCATATATTTAATTAATTTTTATCAAAATCTACTAAAATTTTGATTTTAATCCCCACTAAAGGGGCTTTCAATAATCTACTTAAATTAAACAAGATTAACATTTATTTTGTTCAACTAGAAAAATTTATTAAAATCAAATTAATTTTAACCATATATTTTATGGAATCCACAACTTTTCAACCAAATATTTTATTAACTTTTATTAAAATCTACTAAAATTTATTTTTTATTTAAATCAAACTGAGACTAAATCAAATTAAAAATAAATACACCAAACTTAATAGAAAATGAGGATAACATTTAAAAAACATGGATGTATATCCAAAAACTCTTACGGTCACCTCAATTGTATTTTTTTTTTTTATATAATCAAGAATTGCATTCACGAGAGAATCAACAATTACAGACGACTATCAAGCCAAATAGCTTGAGAGGTAAAGTTTGGAAATCCCTCCCACTACATCTGAATGGACTGCACTTCCCACGCATGTCTAGCTAGTTCATGAGCTACCACATTCCTTAGTCTACTTACATGGCATATTGTTACATCCATAAATAAGTTGAATTGTCACCTGATTTAGGTAGTAATGCAAATTAATTGAACTTTATAATATTATTATTTAATATTAGAAATTGAATTGTCACCTGATTTTTGTACATAAAACTTTTGAACCTTAATTGAAGTTGGAAGTTAAAAAATATGGGTGAGTGTAATATCCACTTCTTTTATTCATTACTAAAATCAGGCCCATCTGAGAAATAGATTAGATTGGAAAAAAAAAATTGCATGCTGTCTTAAAACTGAAGGAACAAGAGAGAAATAAGAGAAAATGTAGAGAGTCAAAACTCAAACGCATAATTTTATTATACCAATTTATCCATAGTTATAGGGTTCAAAATGCGGGTTACAATCTGAATATAATAATCTCTTATAGAATAAATATGACTTATCTAAGAATCTAATGAGACTAAGGCCGTGTCTGAACCCAGTTTTGGCTGAATTGTAAGCAAATTTTTGACCGTTAGTGGGGCCGCATGTGAGATGGCCGGTCAAGAATTGCGACTGAAGTTCATTGCAACTGGCAGAAAATGAATTTTTTGGGCTATTTTAGTTGCTCCCAGACAGCCTCTAAATAGATACTAATAATTATCTCATAATTTTAAAATATTGTCCCCTTAATGACTATCTGCACTATAACTACTTCATTAAAAACCTAGTTTGACAATAATTCAGTGGGGGTAAAAATATCAAATGAAGGAAAAAACGAGTATCGATAATTACAGAAAAATTTGAGTAATAAATTGTTGCATCGTTAAAATCTTGTCAAGAAAATTCAATGGGACAAAATTTGAGCGAAAGAAAAATAGTATAGTTACTATCCCTAATTTCAAATAATGAAAATTCCTGTATAAGGTCATTAATGTCTTGTACGTAATGTCTTCACAATCGCAATTTCGTGAAGTATATTTCATGTTTTCTTGTTCTAGTCTTCAAGCTATATCGTCTCCATACAAGATACTTATGTATCCATGTTTGACTTTAGCCATGTGATGATTTGTTGGAACACAAAGTTTGTAATTGTTCTCTTCAGGAGTCCTCCACAATATATGAGTGTATAATTTCGAAGGAAAAATATCTTTTAGGTTATGGATATTCATTACATAAATAATGTCCCGTTAAAACCTTATTTGGAAAAAAATTGTGAAAAAATCCTAATGAATGAAGAATAGTACATTATTCTTTTGAGTACGCTACGAAAATGGCCTCATTAAAAGTCTTATCAGGAAAATCTGATGGACAAAACCGTGATCAAGGAAAAAAGGTACAACATATATTACTTTCCCTCGTGATAAATCAATTGAATTATATGCTTCGTTCTTATTAAATCTTTCGAGGATAACATAAATAATCATGCCACACGAATTGGCTATAATCGCATATCAAATTTCATGCATCGTTAAAATAACAAAATATGGAGTTGTGATTGTATCCACCATGGTATTTGCAAAATTTATTATGTTGAGAGTAATGTATTACATGTTACAACTTCATTTTTCTCATTTATGTTTCGCATAAATATACACATTTAGGTGTACAAACTGCTGGTCTAGAAACTTCTTGTTCCTATAGTAAGATCAATTTTAATTGAATTGTGTCCTTTTATTTGACTAATCATCACTTCAATCGATATGTTTTAATACATATGTTTCAATATATGCATTATTCATAATATGAAGTAGTACATCATATACAAAAATATCATCAAATAACTTTTTGTTTTCGATTCTATTTTTTCCATAATAACATATGAGAGATTTCCACTTTCAATACTTCAAACACTTGAACCTCTTCTACGATTTTATAATTAGTTATATCTATATACTCTCAAAGAGTATATGTTTCCTATGAACCCTCTTTCTTATTTGCTCATTTTTTATGGTTTCTCTTTAGAATTGAATGTCATAACACTTTAGACATATCATTTATATAATGCTAATGATTTTTAGTCTAAGACATAAATATGAGATGAATCATCTTATGTGTGTAAATGCATCTCATAATTGAGTCATCCTTTTATATTGTCAAAGTGACAGGATATAGAGAGCACAATATGATGCATCATGTCTTATTTCCGGCTACTAATTTCTCTCCTAATGCTGAGAAAACAATTCAATCAAATTGACAACTAGCAAACCGCGCTATAAAATATCACCCGTTATGGCTTAAAAAATAGTTTATAAGGATTCAAACTAAACTTGTATTCTCAACATTTTTTAATATTCATATAAAGCACTAAGGTGGAGCAATTATACATATATTGCACTTTCAAAACTCATTAGATGAAAAATATTAAGCTATGAATCATAAGCCAATTATAACACAGAGAACTTTGATGTTGGCATAATGTTTAATAATATTCCTAAACAAAAAGAAAAGTTTTTTTATTCTCAATAGTAGTTGTTAAGAAATTAATTGAAAGCATTTAACAATCAATTATATTAAATTATTTATCGTCATCCCAATCAATATTTGACTAAAGTTTATAATATAGACTCAATTGGCATTGACATGCTACACTTTCTTGATAGTATAATCTAAAAACTATACTCATAATTTTAAAACTTGTATAGTAATTTCGCAAACTTCAAGTTGCAAAAATCATGTAGTCATCTAGTAAATTTATTTATATGATACACATTATATCTAAACGATCAACTTGGAGGGTGATGCGGTCTTGTATATCACTCTAATTAACTTTCAAAATTATAAAAATTAATTCAAACTTTATCTAATGATGGTCAACAACCAATTTTCAATAAATAGAACAAGCATCATATATAAATTCATTGGATTGAAAAAATTTCTAATTCTTCAATTAATATCTATTTAAATTCTTAATAAATTTTTTCATCGTTGTTGGTTAGGCGATGGTTTAACCAGCTATGCCAAACAATAAAATACATAGTTATTGATCTTCTGGTTCAAATAATGTTTGTTCCAACAGTACTAATATTAACTTCGAGCTTTCTTTCTTCCCTCTTTCAGATATTATGACAATTTCAATGAAATTCATTTTCAAGAGCATCAATATTATCATACTCAACTTTTACGTCTTTAAGAAAATTAATAATTGAAATTACAAAATTTTAATAGCAATATAATATTCTTCT